TTTTTTATTAATAAATCTTCAAGTCAATTAATAGCTTTTAATGATATTATAAATATGTTTCAATTAATAATTTAGATAATTTTATTATTACATGGGAGAGCAATTATGAATTTTTTTTAATTAATTATATTAAATAATTTTTTTAACAAAGGAGTATTTATAATTTTTCAAATTATAGAGAACAATCTATACTTTAACCAAATCATAAAGAATCTATTTGTAATTTACCTTAATTTTTCAATTATATATTGTTATTGCGTATAAGCTACCCCAACTCATCACCAACAAATTTAAGTAGTTATATGATATTGATTGGGGCACCAACTGCTTTTAAAAACAAAATTGATTTATGAAGTAAAATCTCCGTAATTCCATTAAAATAAGTAAATAAATAAATAAATCTTTATGAGAAAACATGGTATCTTGTTTGGCATAATTGATATAAATGCATTTATTTAGGTCATATCTTCTTTATTTTTCTGTACATTTTTTTTTGTAAAAACTCAAAAAATATACTTATTTAAATCATTCCAAATAACTCTAGTAAAAAAAATTAAATTATTCAATTTGGGAGCTCTAATTTGGGAGCTCTAAAAGAGTACTAATGATGCAGAAAGTCCAAAAAAAAAAAAAAATCAAGGCCAAAACATCACATTACATGGGACTCACACACTTATTACAGCTATTAGAGTTATTAATTTAGAACTTCCAATATTTTTTCTTGATGTTAACTCTCTAAAATTTGTTTGAAATTCATTGAAAAAAAGTAAATAAGTCAAAATTAACAAAGTTTGAGGCTTCATAATTTTTTCACACCAAATTAAAAGTTGATTTGGCAATCATTTTTCTAATATTTTTTTGTTAAATAAAGTGGTTGCTAAACATATTAATTTATTTGATAAACGTAAGAAAAAACATAAAATATATATATATATATATTTTTGGTTAATGAAAAAGATGAGTGAATTATTTGAAACTTGTGATTTTTTTTTTCCACCATTGTTAGGTGTTTAAGCCAAAAACAAAATTTTTTTTTTAAACTTAAATTAGTCAAAAGCTACTTATTTAAACGTAGAAACAACCTAAAGTATCAAAATGAAATTAAATAATAAATTTATTTTTTATACATAAAATTCATTTACAATTATGTGACAAATAATAACAATAAAATAATAAATATTTTAAGTAAAAATACTTAAAATAAAAATATATGAAATTTTCATCTCAAAAATTCTATTGATATATTTGGGTCTATGAATGTAAAATGATAATTTCGGTTAGCAGCGGTAATAAACCAACCAATTTGAGCTCGATTTGTATTTGATTAGTTAAAAATGCATTTAAGTTCAGTTTATTAAGTAAATAAGTTAATCTTTAACATATTTTGAAATTTGTTAAAATTTTTAAACTAAACTTAAATAGTTAATTGTTTAATCGGTTCGATACGATAAACTTAAAAATATATAAAAAAATACAAAACTACTCAAAATCAACTTAACAAATGACTCATTCATGATCAATTTAAAAATTCAACAAATCAAATTTAAATAAATTTTAAAATTCATCAAAAAATTTAAACTAAATGTAAACAATTAACTATTCTACTCCTTTGGCTAGTTAGTTTAACTATTTTGCTCATTTAGCTCGTTTATCACTCTTAAAAAAATAAGTAAGGTTAGAAATTTTAAAAATTTATCTAAATTTTTAGCAAATGTTCACATGAATGTGAGATTTAGAGTCACATTTTAATAAAATATTTAATAAAAATTTTAATATTTTTCTTTAAAAAAGAGATAAATTATCAATAGGTCTTAATAGTTAAACTTAATTCCTATCAAGTCCTGTTGAATATAAGTTTTGGTAAAATTGTCGCTAAAAATAATTTTTTTTGACAATTTTTTATATATGTTGTTAAAAATTGACAATTAGTCACTTTTTTTGGTCATAATTTTTATAAATTATTGCTAAAATTTATAATTGGTGACGTTTTTCTATGACAAATTTTTTTTTCATAAGACTTATTATTTAAGAGCAATGATTCATCCCCCTTTTCCCCCACCCCCTTTGACCCCCTCTCTCTCTCATTGGTTACCTTTTCTTTTTCTTTTTCTTTTTTTTCCTGCTCCTCCAATCACCCCCTGTCACATGGCAAAGGGGGTGAGGGGATAACCCCAAAAGGAAGTCCCAAGTATTATTCATTATTTAATAAGTTCACTTATTAAAACCTACGCGTGAATAGATCTTAAAAAAATTGGGTGATCCCGAATCCCGAGTGGAAGCGAGACCGTGAGCGCGTGTGGCTCGAGATGTGCGTGCGTGGGTGGGTATGAGTGGGTCCCATCCAATGTGGGCCCGACTTACGGTTAAAGCCCGGCGCGGTACATGCAATGTAATTAGACGCACCGTTGATTCCGGAATTAATGGGTCCCACTTCCCTCTGCTGCGTGCGTTGGATACATGTTTGTGGCCCCCAAGGGAGGCTCGATTCTCTGTTCCTGACCCTACGGTGTGTCTCAGTGGTAATCCATCTCATTTCCCCACAAAATTCCTTTTACGTGGGCCCACATCAGAAATCTTCAAATCAAAGCCACTCGTTGCGCCACAACTTCCGATTGATTGATTTTATTTGCGTCAAAGCTGTTCTCGATCTACATACCCTTTTACTTTTCCGTCCTACTTTGTACCCATTTGTAGACCATTGGATGCACTTTTTTCTTCTTTTTTACATCCATCACTTTTGTAATTATTTATTTATTTAATTAAATTGATATTTCTTCAATTATAATTGAATAACATTTTATCTTCACATTTTTCAATTATTCATTTCAATCTCTAAATATTAGGGTTAAACATATGATTTTGATATTAATAGAAGTAAAATGATATCTCAGGAGTTGTTGAGAGGTGTTTTTGTAATTAATTCATAATTTTTCTTTTAAATGATTCAACCTCTAAGCAAATTTATCAAGGAAGTTTGTAAATTAGCGGAAAGAACTAAAACTAATTAGTTTAGTGCTAATTATTTCTATTAATTTACAATGCGTGCGTTTCGCATTGACACACACTACCATCCATCACCCACCACAACAACCACTATCCTTTATTTCACTTGTCTTCATATTACCTGTTGTTACTCATCTCCCCTCCTCTAATGCATTAATGCCACTTACAACTCTATTTTTATCACCACCAACAACCTATTCTTTCCTTCTCTACCCACTGCGTATTCAACTTGTTTTGTACTTTACCTTACTTGATGCTACCCATTTCTTTCATTGTTCGTCTTAATGCCCTCCATCCCAACTTCTACCACCCTTTTCATTTTTTTACAGTACTCTCTTAAGGGTGGTTTAAAATGATCTAAATAAATGTATTTTTTGATTTTTTATAAAATATGAATTAGGTATGAGTTAAGTTTGAAGTGATAGATTAGAGAAGTGATATGACTCAAATAAGATGATGTGACTTAAATAGGATAGTGACTTTTTAACTTTTTTTTAGATCATGTTAAACAAGACCTTAATTTCACTATCATTTTCACTATTACTCTCATCTTTTAAAACTCCAAATCCCATAACCCATTATTATTATTCCTTTTATTGTCATTGTTCTCATTCTTTCTATGCGAGATACGACAGTAGATAGATAAGAGATGAGAGGGAAAAAGAATAAGTATATAGACATAAATGATAAAATTAAATAGAGTTTTCTTTACACTACCTAAGATATTATGAACTTTATTCCCAAGTTGCCCTTGTCTTTTTGAGAAGTCATAAGACATGACAAGATAAAGTAGAAGCCTCCAGGGGTATTTATGTCATATGGCATTTTAAATTTCATTGTTTGCTTTTTTCCAGGTTTACTTTTCATTATGGCCCTTCTCACTTAACAAATTTGTTTGAAAAACACACCAGTTACGAAAGGGGGTTGGGTGTGGAAGAAGAAAAGAAGAGGTGGCAGTTTTGACTTTTTTGACTCCATAGAAATCCCTTCTCAATCAGCAATACCATTGGAAGGTGCATTACACGCACAAAAACAACCTTGGAATTGGAAAAATAAATAAACACATATAACTCATCAACAAATTATGAATATTAATTTAATTTAAATATTTTATACTTCATAATATTGTCTAAAAATTAGCTTATCAGTCTTAATATGGATATGTTTTAACAAATTAAAAGTTGATAATTAAAAAATTAAAACTAAAATCAACTCTTCTTATTTCTTAATAATTAATTTTTTAAAAGTCATTTAAGTTATTTCTGCTATACTAATGAACATTTTTCATTGAAGAATATACATTTTCTTACATATTTCAAAATGCTTTTCATCAATTTAATTTTTTTTTTCACACTAATTTTGATATTAAACAATGCCAAAAGAAAGCTCACATTTGCTTTTTTGTGCTGTAATAAAAATGTCACATTCAGCTGGTAAAGCTAATTGCCAATAAATTATGGATAAGACACTTAACTGCTAAGGAGGGAGGATTCAGATTCGAATTAATCAAATCATTAACCTATTAATCACTATTTTTGACTGAAAAAAAAAACTAATGCCCCGGCTTTTCTCTAGTTAGATCTCATATTAGAGAGTATTGTTATGTCCGTGAAGTCCATCACGTATTTCGTTTTGATAATTTAAATTATTTAATGTGTAAAATTCTTTGAGTATTATATGCTTATAAAAAATTATTTTGATCAGATATCGATAGGTGATCAAATTAATTTTGTATAAAAAACAAATAGACGGTGAAAAAATAAACGGTTTACATAAATATAATCTGATAAGATAGCTATCGATATCTGATTAACGTAATTTGTTTCAGATATATAGTACTCAACGAATTCTACAAAATGAACCTTTACAAATACAACAATACCCTCTAATCTAATCACAAATGAGAGAGGACCCCAGCCCCAAGAAACTAAAATCAGTCGATAAAATATTTCTCTCTTTAAATTTGGTTCAAAATTACAATTGTTGCCACGCGGACCGTTCCCTTCTCCCTAATAAGTAGTCCATCTCCCGCTTTCTTTCCCCCTCATCCCTACGCACTCTCTCTCTCATCTCATTTTGCTTTTGTGGTATTAGCTTTAGAGAAAATGGCTATTGTGAGTGTGGTCTGCATTGCCTCCCTTATCTCACTTTTCTCACTAGCCCAAGCTAGACTCCCTGGTGTTTACACCGGCGGCTCATGGGAAACCGCTCACGCCACTTTCTACGGCGGCAGCGACGCCTCCGGCACCATGGGTATGCAATCTCAACTCATTTCAACCCCCCCCCCTCCCCCAAACTCTCTGTAATTTCAACTCATTGTACTCTCATTCAGATATAGTGGTTCAATCCCATTTCCTACAACTGTTTTTTAGAAGCCCTGAAAATGAACTCAAATTTGCCCCCAAAAAACCCACTTGCATACTACATTGTACAGTCTAGCTTTGTAACAAATTGGTTTCAGATTACTCAAATTTGGCCCAAACTCATTTACATACTACATTGTACAGTCAAGCTTCACAGCTCTACAATGGAGCCAAATTAGATATCTGTTGATAATTTATCACTCTGTTTTTGGTTTTGCTTTCAGGTGGAGCATGTGGGTATGGTAATCTCTACAGCCAAGGCTACGGCGTGAACACGGCGGCTCTAAGCACAGCGCTTTTCAACAACGGCCTGAGCTGCGGTGCTTGCTTTGAACTCAAGTGCGCCAACGACCCCACCTGGTGCCACTCAGGCAGCCCATCGATTCTCGTCACCGCCACCAACTTCTGCCCACCAAATTACGCACTCCCCAACGACGATGGCGGGTGGTGCAACCCTCCTCGGCCCCATTTCGACCTCGCCATGCCAATGTTCCTCAAGATCGCCGAGTACCGCGCCGGCATTGTTCCAGTTGCTTTCCGCCGGTAACTCTCCTCTCTCTCTTACTCTGTTTTGGTGAGTCTTTGTTTTGACAGTAATACTACTAACGCGGCTTAACGATTGATAACTATTTTTAAAAGGTAGATTATAACTATTTTAAGAGTTAAATTTTAAATTTTTTTTGAAAGTTTGTTAAAAAAAAAAGAGAAAAATAATCAGTGTGTTTGGTTTGTGTTTTCTGAATTAATTTTTTGAAAATTAAGTTTTTTGATTTTCGTATTTTTTTGTTTTTAATAAGTATTTTTAAAATTTTAAACATTTTTTTTTTATTTTTTTAGATGTATCTTACTTAGATGTATTTAAAAAGTAAAAAATTTGTGAAAAAATATTTTAAAAAATTAATAAACACATAATAATACAAAAAATATACTAAATTGTTGTATTTTTTTTTGTATTTTTGGTATTTAGTGAATTTTTAAAAAGTTTTTTGACATTTTTTTTTTTACTTTTTGGATGCATTTATGTTAAGTGTGTCTAAAAAATAAAAAAATTATTTAAAATATTAAAAAAATTCAGTAAAAATAAAAAAATACAAAAAATAAGAGAGGAGAATTTTTTAAAAAGTGTTTTTTGAAAAATAAAAGCAAGCATGGTGAATGTAATTTAAGAAAATTTAAAATTTAATTTTTAATTTACTTTTTAAAATGGACCTCAGAAATAATTTAAAATTATTTTGTGTTTCAAATTTATTCTATAACTTCACATTAGATAAATTTAATCCCTATCGCTCAAGGACTCATCCAAAAAACATCTGGATAATTTAGGCTGGTTAGCAGACTTTTTCTTGTTTTGGGGCTCGTGGGTCAAGCATGCTCTGTGGCTGATGGGTTGTGGGTCAGATTCTCTCTCTGGTTTGGGCTCTTTATTGCTTTTTGACAGATCGTCTTCTTATCTGCTTTATTTCTCAATTGACCAAAAATGCCCATAATGTTTTGCATCACGTGACCTTAGGTTGATTACAAATCTTTGTTCTGTGTGTCGTGTAGCTAATTCGAGTCATTAGCACTGGTTTTTGAAGCTGAGGCCAACTTTGGGTGCTTCTAAAAAAGTCAAAAAATTAAAAAATTACTTAAAAAGTTAAAAAGTTAATACTATTCATCAAAAGTTAATAATTACGGCTGCACAATTTTCAATTTAAAATTTTCTCTACAAATCAATTTTTACAATTTTTTATTACATATTTTTCAATAAAAAGTCAAAAAGTTAACCCAAACATCCATATTTTCAACCTCAATTTTTTAGTTCAAAAAGACAAAAATTACACTTTTTTAGTCTTTTCAAACTTGGCCTGAATTTGAGACTATTTTAATTATAAAAAGATAAAATAAAATTTTTAATTTAATAAAATAAATTATTATATCTAATCCATACTCATGGCATTATCTCTCATAAAAAATTAAAAATATTAATAAAATTTTTAAAATTCCTAATATTAACGCTTTGTTCTACGCGCATGTTTACTTTTTCTTTTTTTTTTAACATAATAATAATAATTATTAATTACGAAACTAATATATTCTGATTGGCAAACAACAAGCCCTAGCTAGGGTCGGGTGGCGGGGACACGGTCTCCAAAACACATTCCACAACACAAAAATGTGAAAAGGCTTTCTAATCCAATCCAACCCTAGCCGTACTTTTTGTCCCACCCTAAATTCACGGCCCGTGTTTCACTCTATCAAAATTCCACATATTTCAATTAATCAAACTGACCTCGACTTTTTACTTTTCAGGGTGCCATGCCGGAAACAAGGAGGAATAAGGTTCACGATCAATGGTTTCCGTTACTTCAACCTGGTGTTGGTCAGCAATGTCGCGGGTGCAGGTGATATAGTGAGGGTGAGCGTGAAGGGGACTCGAACCCAATGGATGAGTATGAGCCGGAATTGGGGACAGAACTGGCAATCCAACGCCGTGTTGGTGGGCCAGTCCCTCTCCTTCCGTGTCACCGCCAGCGACCGCCGCTCCTCCACCTCCTGGAACATTGTTCCTGCCAATTGGCAATTCGGTCAAACCTTCTCCGGCAAGAACTTCAGAGTCTGAATTATTAACAATTCAACGAAAACAAAAAGCGGGATTTTAAATTTCCCGCTTTAACTGGTTTTCATTTTCACCCTTTTGGCGCCAAATTTTGAGGTTCTTTTGTTTTTTTTTTTAATTTATTTATTACTGTAATGTTTAGTTTGTTGGGGATTGTGAAAGTTGAAAATTATTGAGAGAGTGATAAGATGGGAGGTTTTTAATAGAAAAGAAGAAGGGTGAGTGCTTTTTTTTTTGATTTGGGAGTGTTGACTGATGAGTGGGGGTGGGGGTGATTGATGATTGTAAGGAGGGGTATAAGTGGAATTGTAGGTGAGGAGAGGAGAGGTGAGGAGAGGAGAGAGGAGGGTTGAAGCGGTTGCAGAAAAAGGCATGTAGCCCGCAGCTCTGTGAAAGTTGCTAATGTAAGTTATATATATATACATTTTTAATATATATATATATAATTATATATTATATGATGATATTTGTTTGAGCAGTGCATTGTTTGTGATTTTTTACATGCTGTCCTTCATTTGGAATTTGATTATCAAAGTGTTTAAGACACTTTTTGCTTACAGTTTGTGAGCTAGGAATAGCTTAAATAAATTTAAAAAAATTGATTACTAAAAAGTTGGAGAATGATTTGTTTTAACTTTTATTATCTTATTATTAACTTTCAGTTGAACTACGTGTAAGATTGTTCTTTTGGTTTTTAGGATCGTAAACTAATCCAATTTTAGCTGATTTGTAATACAAAAAAAAGAATTGAATATAATATATAGGATCTGAATTAGAAGAATGTGAAAAGGTGACAATTTACCACACAACCCAAATGAAGAGGTGAACATTTTCATTTTTCCTCCTAGGGGGTAACATAATTCTCCTAACTATTATGTCCAAGTAGGTCACTATCTTAAGATCCAATGCATTTTGTGTATATGTTAACCTAATTTGCACATGGTGGTGGGGTTGGTGAACCATGCCTTTGTTCACATGTCAAAGCTAGTTAGTTGTTTTCCTTTATATATCATCATTTTGTGAGATAAAAGTTCCTTGGATTTCCAATCACCCAAACAGAAGCAAGACAAAAGTATAGAGCTTTGGATACCCATGCTCAACTATATACCCCCTACAATTTTAGGTTGATTTTCGGCTGGTGGGTTGCTTTGCCCAAATTTCTTTCACATCGTGTGCGTGCTAAGTGTGAGATCCCTAGTGATTTAGTGAGAGAGAGATTCTATTTGGCGAAATATAATATCTTTGTTCGTCATTAACATTGAATAAACTAGTTAGAATTTCTGCATTTCATCAAGAGATTAAAAATTTACTATATACAAAACTCTCCACGGCCACAGATTACAAAATCTAATGTATAAAAAAAAATTTAAAGACACCGCTTTGTTTGTACATTATGTAAGAGGGGTAAAAAGAATTCTTTGTTAGAACTTTACATGCAAGGAAGTTATTATTGTTATGAGCAAGGTTACTGTATGGGAAATTTTCCGACCACACTGTCAACTCAGTAATTTAGCTGGAGAACACTGGCAGAATAGATATCACCTGACTAACCTGCAATAGAAATATAAAAATCCCGCGGCGGTTCGTCTACCCGGAGGCACTCCGACGATCAAGTCAGTATATCTCTCAAAGATAATCAATTATTCAACTCACAAGCTTGAGCCTAAAAAGCATACCTTAGACCCATGGGGGTGCCTCTCTTTTATAGCCAACATAAACCTAGTCTCAATAGAAGCTTAACTTTTATGGACTCAGGATTACTGCTAATCTTGGACTCCCCGTAAGATTAGGATAAACTCTCTAAGAGTCTTATCTTAATACAAACTGAAGTCTTCTCTCATTCTAGGACTCTTGTCCCTCATCCAGGTTGAGTTCCCTTTTCATTCTAGGACTCTTGTCCCTTATCTATTTATCTTGGATTCCGATATCTTCGGAGATAACCTCGGCCTTGTCGAGATCACCTCGGCGTCACGACCAGGACACGTGGCACCTCGGCTGACACGTTGGTGTCACCTTACCACGTGTTGGTACTCAGAAAATATATCCCCACAGTTACACATTTTTTTTCTTTATCATGATGTGGTGCGTCCATAGTTATCGATGCAGTAGAACTTGTTTGGAACTTAGTAATTAATATCTATCTCGTATAAATATGCCATATCAAGTGATGAATAGAAAGTAGAAAGACAAAAAAAAAAAAAAAGTGGCAACATTATTTTGTACTAGAGGGTCACTAAATCTGTGGTAGGGCTTGTGTTATATTTTCCAACTAGCTGCTTACTGTTTCGTTCAAAATTACAAACCTTGCACTCCTTTGCAACATAGTTCCCTATCAGAGTCCAAAAGAAAAATGACCACGACCATGCACATACCACGTGGGGTCTTTTTGGAGGAGATTTTGAAAATTCCACTCTAATTTTGCCATAAGCAATGGCAGAAGCTTCTAATTATACATAATAAATTTATTTTGAAACCATCACATTCGCATGTAATGTAAGTCCTATACCTTGTGGAGGTACACTAATTCATTCATCACATGCATTGTAAATATTGTACATCCACCGCGTACATTGTAAAATTTTGTACCTTATGACAGATTGACGATGGAGTTCTCTCTATCATGTTTTTGCTTTTTTTTTTTTTTTTTTTTTTTTTTTTTTTGATCTTCTTCATTTCAAGTTTTGGTCCTTGGAAATATGTGCTATTTTGTACATTACCTCTTTTTGTATACAAATATTATAGGGTTGGCTACAAGTTCTGTTTCAGAACATTAGGCTTTCATGAACTGGCCCTCAGTGGGCCTCGGCCTGATCATCATTTGGAGAGGGAGGCCAATTGTTTGTGCAGACTAGTTGGCCCTAAAGATAGCATTGGGTTCCCAAGTGGGCAGTGGCTTAGGGCACAGCCTTGGGGACCCTTTGTATATTCTACATTTCATTCATCTTTGGCTTTCCATTTCAAGCCTATTGACTTGCTCTAGCTTTAACATATATGATATGATATTTCATCAAATCACAAAGATAAAAACTTAAGCTTCTCTTTTATATGCTTGTCAACAATCCATTATCAATCCAGAAAAACAAAAGGACATGTACTGCAATCTAGCAATATTTAATGTACTCCAACTATCTAACAGCTTGTGGAAATTAGTAAAGGAACAAAGTTTTAATAGTTCTTCCAATATTCCTATCTGATCCAGTATGAATCAAAAAACTTACATGTTTCAGCTCATCCAGGTATTCCTCTGTCCCAAAAATGTACGACTGGACTTCCTGAAAGAAAATGGGTATTATATACAGATTAGCAGGACAATTTATACTCTGTACATTCAACACACCAATATTCAGGGACAGATGCATTATATATAGATTTAGATATGTTTCTATGTCTTAGGTTGCACTATATATATTCTATGTTTATGAATGTTCAGTACCACAATTCTTAATCCACTAAAATTTTTATACAACTAACCATAACGATAATGTTGTTTAGTTTCAACACTAGCTCATACTTGGTTTCAACATTTTATAGGATTCTATAGTTACAGAAAAATTAAAATGTTTATCATTTCCGGTGTCCAAATCAAGTTGTGTGTTTATCATTTGAATTATTGCAAGTAAAACGCATTAAAAGATATAAATCATACGAACAAACTTGATTCATCCATTAAATATAATAACGGAGATTTATACAAATAAGAAGAAACAAGTTTTTCATGGAAAAGTTATCTACAACATTAGAAAGTGCCGATCTTATATGATGCAGATGCAAAAGGTTAGTTCGATAATGGACCTTTTAGTTTCTCTTTCGCTTCTGCGCTTTCCACTTCTTGACTATATGCAATACCCCTTCTCCCAGTGTTGCTTTCCTTCCTTCCTTGTAATTCCACAGTTCTGATATTATGTACCTACCACTGGGGTTGTACTCATTCATCTCCATCAAAGCAATTGTCACAGCCAAGAAGACTTCATCACCAAACTGAGTCTTTAGATCTTTCAGTTTTTCATCATCTTCATCAATGATTTCCTGCGCGGCCACATTCAAATAAAACCATCTATAAGGTGAATGATAGGACAAAAGGGAAGGACAAGGGAAAAAGCAAAATTTTATGTACCTACTAAAAGAGATCATTACACATGTTTAGAGAAATTATCACATGAATTCTTAAATTTAAAGTTTAGAAAGGAAAAAATTGTCAAGCAATGATGGCATTCTACTGAAATACATGGGTCTGATAGAAAGAATTAATAAAAAATGGTCTAGAAATGCATACCACTTCCTTGTTGCTTTGTCTGACAATCTTAAAAGGATGCCAGCTAGGATCCCTAAGGTACTCCTCCCATAATGAACATAGCTCCATAGCTTTGTCATCAGCTTCTTCATTACCGTACTTTCTCTTGGCCGCAATGTGGAATGGCCTACTGTCAAGCTCTCCCATCCGCTTAATGCCAATAAAAGCCCGGGAATGTTGTTCCTTCAAGCCCTTTAAGGCAATAAAATAGGTTTCTTACCAAGTCGTAAAGAAATTACCACATCATGATAGTAGTTTCAAGAGGCAAGCTTAAGGTCTAATTGCCTTTTCTCATTTTCAGTTTGTGGCAACCTAAAAATCTAGTTTGTTCACTTCATTTTCAGTTTTCTGGAAAATTGATACTCAATCTCCGCATGTTGAGTTTATTATTTACGCTATAGGAAGAGCATTTGTTGCTGGTTGTGTAATTTCGTCCATTGAGGATAATAAAGAGAATACTCTCCACAGTGGTGTTACACAATCAAGCTCTCATTAATCAGTTTTCTGGCATTCTTCAGTGCTCCATGATACTCAGAGGTGGTAGCAAATTTGTATTTGGGACTGAACTAACAACAGTAGGTATTCAGGATCACAAGTTAACTTCAATGCCATCTTTCGTAGAAGGTGTGCATGTAGTACTCGGCTTTCTCACATGCCCAAATATTAAGACAGGAAGATGACTGAATTCTTGAGGTGCCCAACTTTTCTCTGGTCACACCTTCTTCAAAGGAATGAACATATTTTTTTCATCATTTAAATCTATTATTATTATTATTTAATTTATTTACTACTTTTATAGTACGTAAGTTTCTATTAACACAGCATGAAATGCATGTTATTTGAATCACGTAACAGAGCAAAAAAAAAGTATCCTAGATAACTTCAAATAAGCAACAGATTTGTTGTTTGTTTTCTATTTGTCAGTTCTCAAGTAGTCCCATTAGGTACCCATCCTACATCACCCACGTTTACAATCAGAGACATCCCTACTCCTTTTCATGTTGCATTTTTTGCGTTTTGAAGTGAGCATAATATGTACTTTGATGTAAGATGCATGGCCAACTGAGGCTTATCCTAGAGAATTTTTTGACTCTTTATCATTTATAAAAAAATATTTATCAGATCAGCAACGACATTGTACGATTAATGCACAGAGCCTTACGAGTTTAGCATTCAAAACTACTTCAAGGGGTTTCCGGGCTTTAAACATTTTAGACTAGATAAGAACCACGAAAAAAAGAGAGTAAATTACTAACATTAATTAACTCCTTGCGAGCATCTTGCAACTCATCGTTGCCTTTTCTTTCCTGAATAATGAGAGCTTGATTTAGGGATAGCAGGTCTTCAAGATCCTGTATCTTCTCTTTTAAGTTTTGCTGAATTTCATCCCTCTTGTTCATAAGCTCCACATCCCCGTCATCATCCATGTGTTTCATGACTTGTAGTGCCCCACTCATACCCTCAACTTCCAACTCCAATGCTTGCTTGGCATCAAGTTTCTTTTGTAGTTCAATAATCTTTCTACGAAGCTTTTCTTTTTCTCTCTGCAATGAAAAAGCATAATAACTAATGAAATCATAAAAACTTTCAGAAATCAGCCATATAATTGTCATTTTAGTGATTTAAGTAAAAATAGAAAACAGGACACATTACCTGTTGATCTTCTGCCAACCGTAAAATATTTTCATCTGCTTTCTTTTGCTCCAAGGTTGCTCTCTCATTCTGAAAACAAGACAAATTTATTACAGTCGTTGACAAATAATTCAAATGTCTGTTATCCAACTAACTTCAGCACCAGCCAATACATTAACAAAAGCTGATGTTAACCCTCTAATCATAATAATAAATCACACTATATTCCACAAAATTCAGCCAGAATCAATCACAAGAAAGGAAAATACACTACCATTTCCTTCTCAGAGTAGAGCTGCTTTTTCTCATTTTCATTTCGGGCCTCTCGTTTCTCCAATTCTTTCTCACGCTGCTCGAGCTCTTTGCTCTGTGCTGCTAACTGCATTGTAATCTTTTCATGCTCCTTGAAAATCCTTTCAAATTGACCGCGAGCATTCTGCTGCATCTTCCTAATTTCTATTTGACATAAAGTTTTAAACATAAAATACAGAAATCCATTGTTAACGTGATATTTGATAGAAAAAATCAACAACTAATTAATTATGGCGAACCAGTGCCATGGTTAGGCTAGGTCCTGGCTAATACCTTCATTATAAGCTTTGTGCATCTCATCTTTTTGAGTCATCAAAACGGTCAGTGACATCGAAGTTTCATTGTATTTACACTCAATCTCCTTGAGGCGTGTATTTTTCACCTCAATAACATTAGTCAGATTTGTCAAAAGTGTTGTAGTTTTTCGCTTATCTTCTGCTTCAATGTCAGAAATAGTTTTCAAGTCTCCACTCTTTCGCAGATGCTCACCAACGATACTGTCTGTGTGGAAGTCATCATCCCGGGCAACCCATCCATACATCTCCTCTCCAAGGTACTTTGCATTATAGTAATCCTTCTTGCCCCTATGATTTGTCTCAAAAGTCTTCTCAAACAACATGGCATTATTAAATCCAGGCCAATCTTTGTTAAATTCCACCAGTGCAAACCCAGAATGGCCCCTATATGTCCACAAAGGATGAACCCTCACTGGGTTAAACCCTTGTCTAGCCAAATCATTCCTAAGTTTCGACCCGCTTTCCCCAATGCAACGCCCATCCTTTTTCTCAACAGGGAGGTTTCCTACAATTCCCACCCAAGGCCAAACAAATAGCTCATTTGCGTCATTGAGCTTATGAGGCTCAGTAGCCTCCACTGTGGATTTTGACAATGACCTATTTGCATTCACATTAACATACAATTCCATGTACTTCACTAGGCCTGAATGCTTCCCTTTCTCCTTTAGACTCCTGCTCTGTGAACGCTTCCCAACACCATGTTGAAGGAGCTCCTCGTATTGATAATCCTGTTTTTTCCTCCCAGGGCAGTATGGGCATCTAAATGTTTCATCTGATTCTTTCACCTTTACACTACCATTCCTTAAGTTCTCGAAACATTCTTCAGCGTATTCATCCAACTCTGAATCACTTATATCTGTGTCTTCGTCTGATGAGTGTGACATTTCTTCAGAAAGCCTACACTCATGCTGTGTTTGGTTGGAGGATTTGAGGAGTGATTTGGAAAGAAAAAGGAAAAAGTTAGATGAAAGGTAGATATTTCACCTAATTTCGCACACTTTTTCTTTTTCTTTCCAAATCCCTCCTCAAATCTCCCAACAAAACGCAGCATTAAACAAAAACACCAAATGTCAAAATATATGCAATCTAGTTTGCTGAGGAAAATAAAAAACAAGAGTAATTAAAACGAAAAGAAATGGAATGAAACAGTTGATTAATACTTCAAATCATAATGCTTATAGTTCCTTGGATCAGAACACTGAAAAACTCATTCCAGTGAAGCAATATCGTCACGTCTCATTTGAGAAGATATCTAAATTTTCTTCGGTAAAAAATATCAGTTATAATTGAAGAATTATGCTCTTTCCTTCGCATTTTCTTGGCATCCAAACAGAGCATATACATATAACCTATAGGGGTGTATAGGGGTGTTACTACTACGCAATCAAATACGATCGAACTGAGGCCCGGGGTAAGTTATATAAAAAAGCCAAAAGCAAGGTCAATCTTCTTGCAGTCCTCGTTTGGTTTCCAAGAAAATAGAAAGGAAAGGAACGGAAAGTAAAGGAAAAACGATTTCAAATTGTTAAGACTTGAGTTCCCAGGTCTTCGTGAAGTAGCGAAAAACTCACCAGACAAGTCGGATATATTTGGTCTGAGAGTAGTGAAAGAAAGCAAGGAATCGTTAGAGAAGCTTAAACGGAACGGAGCACAAAATCAAAATCAGTGACCATTAACGCTTCAGATTCACACATATGTGTATACACATAAGAGAGACAAAATGGAAAGGCTCTAGCCTAGAGAGAGAGAGAGAGAGAGGAAGTAGACAGAGAAACAGAGTTCTGCATCTGCATCAGTCGGAGCAATACCACGCTGTCCTTTCGATTTATACATTTTGGACAAATTACAAATACCCCTAAAATTTATTTAAAATGTGAGCCCCTATATTCTAGAAATTACATTTTAATTAACAAATTAGCCTCTTTTATTGCCAAGTCAATTAATAATTTTTAATTTTAGATAACGATTAATGTAATTTTATATTATATAGAAAAGGGAGACTTATTTATAAGTCTTTTTTCAGACACTTATGATAGGCTAAGTTCTGTATAATTTCTTATAGAGTCTCAAGTCCTATTTATATAGGAATGTATTCCACAAGATCTTACAAAAACGTAACGTAATGTAACACCTATATAAACGTAACGTAACGTGACACTTATATAAACGTAACGTAGCGTGACACTTATATAAACGTAACGTAACGTGACATGTTACGTTTCGCAAACTTAATGAGTTTTTATTTTTTTAAATTGAATGTGAAAATGTTGATGGTTTATGTTGGTGTCACGTTACGTTTCATATAAATATGATCTATGGTAATATTCAATTTCCTATATAGGAAATTGAATGTTGCTATAGATTATGGGTGTCACGTTACGTTACGTTTATGTAGATATGATCTATGGCAACATTCAATTTTTATAGAAAATTGAATGTTGCCATAGATCATAGGTGTCACGTTACGTTTATGTAGGTGTCACGTTACGTTACGTTTATATAGATATGATCTATGGTAACATGCAATTTAACATGTAATTTCCTAAATTGCATGTTACCATAGATTATAGGTGTCACGTTACGTTACGTTTATATAGATATGATCTATGGTAAAATTTAATTTCCTATATATAGCTTTACTATTATTTATGATATTAACAACTAATATTGAGAGTAAACGTGTCAACAAACTTCCCACGAGACTTATGGAAACATAAGTTTTTTAGTAGGACCATATGTAACATAAATTTCCCTAATAGGACTTATAAATATTTTTCCCTATAGAAAAATAGTTAGAATTTTTTTTAATTAATTCTGTTTAGAAAAATGATATATAAGTTTATTTTTTAAACTCATTTTTTAGATCCAATAATGTGTGAGTGAGATAATTAGTTGATAATTAAAAAACTCCTCTTCGTCGTCTTCACACGCAAACCACAGAACCAGACTCCAACAGCAAGGACGAAACCCTGGCACAACCAAACCTTGCAACGAGCATGCAAAACATAAACGTATCTCTCGGAATTGGATTGATGATGAAAAGCGTAAAATAGAAACTGCCAAACTGCATGAACGAAGAAACAGGCACCTTTTACGTATTAACACTATACATATATATATATAGGGGCAAAATAGTCCAACAAATTATATTAAATTAGAAAAATGGACCTTATGGAATATCCAGAAAAATTTATGGGACTAATTAGGTTATAATATTTTTTAGTGGACCTAATGGGTTATAACAACTCTAGAATGGATTTATCAATAAAAATCTCAATAAAAAATTTAAATAAAAAAAATTATAATTTTTTCAATTATAAGAGAGAAAGGCCCCATTTGGTAATATTGTGGGAAATTGATTATAGATTATAACTTAACAAATTATAACTTATAGTTGTGAACATAAGCTGTTAACCTGTTTAGTGCAACTATGAGATTATAGATTTAAGCAGCAGAATAGTGTTTGGTTGATAAGCTGTAAAATAGTTTTTTAATGTATAATTGTTCGTTTTGCCCTTATATGATATAAAAATGATAATTTTGTCATTTTTTTTCAGTTTTAATTTAAAAAAATTATTTCATTAATAAAAGTTAATGTAATTAGTATTAATTAGTATCAATTAATATAAAAATTGATGTATTTGATAAAAATGTAATGGAATTATTATTGTAACAATTTTTTTTCATTATAAATTAAGAATAATGCTATATGCATCAATTAGTGTACTAACCAGTGTACCAATTGATGATGTGGCATAATTTAAGAGATTTTTGAGATTTGTAATGTGATTAATGAATGCGGTCAATAATAATGTCATAATTAGTATTGGTACACTAGTTAGTATACTAATTAGTGTATGTAGCATCACTAATAAATTAATTAGTATCAATTAATTGCTTAATTAGTATCAATTAAGACTAAAACTATTAATTAGTACCAATTAATATTAGAATAATGCAATATGTATTAATTAATGTACACACTAGTGTACTAAAATATGATGTGGCATCATTTATATAATTTTGGGTATTTATAATTTGTATAACAAATGTGATCAATAATAATATCATAACACTAGTTATATTAATTGGTACATGTAGCACTACCGTTAATATTAATAATCGACAATTGTTATTAATAAGTATTAATTAATAATTAATTCATTACAAAAATATACAATATTTATTTATTAATAATTAATATCAATTAATATTGATACCAATATAAAAATTATTGATTTTTTTCTTTTTCTTCATTTTTTTTTCTTCTGTTTTTTCTTTTTCTTCATTTTGTTTAATTTATTAATTCATTACATATTATTTTATTAATTAATATAATCTTTTTTTTTTGTCATTAAGCAATCAAAAAAAATTTCATTACAAAACCCTAGCCATACGGCACCAGTTTGAAACAGAGTTCTGGTGACCTTAGCCGTTGATCTAAAACATCGTTCATATGACGGCGTTGATGTATGAGCCGTCTGTTGGGTTGGGTTTCCATCCTATGTGGAGGAAGGCCCAAAACATTTAGTAAGCCCATGTGAATTCCAAAGCCCACATGGAGAGGTTATGTTTTTTGAAAAGATCTGACTCATAAGTTTAGGGTTACAAACATTTTCTTTGTACACAAAAAGAGGCATAGAAGCTGCCACCAAAACAGAGAGAAGAGGAGAAATTCTGTCCAGTAGTGATCAAGCTATCCGATCAACAAGAATCTGTGGTCCGATTGAGCTGAAATTTGGTAGGCGAGTTCACAACTCAAGACTCTAAATTTTGGACGGTGGAGATCAGATTTGGAGTTTTCTATTGCTGGTTTTTGGCCCGTGAACAGTACCGTTTTTGGTGAGATTTTTCCTAAACTTTGTAGTTTGATCTTTGGTTACCAAGGAAGCTTATTTGTAAGTTGTTCTTGATTGTTTGCCTCTAGTTCTATCTAGAGAGAACTCTTGTATACCCATTTTTTGTTTATAGTGGAGATATTTGGTGGACTACGGTCCCGTGGTTTTTCCTTTCCACATCGGGAAGGTTTTCCACGTTAAAAATTTGCTGTCGCCTTGTTGTGTGATTGTTGGATCATCGCTTTCAGATTATTTTCAGAATATATTGTGCTCTATTAAATTACTTCCTAATAGGTTCACACAAAGAGGGAGAATAAACTACTTCCGCTATTTTTGTGCCGGATTCGGATATTTCAAATTTGGTTTTTTGTTTTGTTTTCTCCCAACATAGTGGTATCAGAGCTTGGTTCATATTTTTGTGCATCTTGTGTTGAATAATGGAAGCAAATTTGAGTAGAATGGTTACCTTGAATGGTTCAAATTATCACACATGGAAAGGAAAAATGGAAGACCTCCTTTATGTGAAACAATTTCATCTACGCCTCCCAAATTTCAGCTCAATCGGACCACAGATTCTTGTTGATCGGATAGCTTGATCACTGCTGGACAGAATTTCTCCTCTCCTCTCCGTTTTTGGTGAGATTTTTCCTAAACTTTGTAGTTTGATCTTTGGTTGCCAAGGAAGCTTATTTGTAAGTTGTTCTTGATTGTTTGCCTCTAGTTCTATCTAGAGAGAACTCTTGTATACCCATTATTTGTTTATAGTGGAGATATTTGGTGGACTACGGTCCCATTGTTTTTCCTTTCCATATCGGGAAGGTTTTCCACGTTAAAAATTTGCTGTCGCCTTGTTGTGTGATTGTCGGATCATCGCTTTCAGATTATTTTCAGAATATATTGTGCTCTATTAAATTACTTCCTAATAGGTTCACACAAAGAGGGAGAATAAACTACTTCCGCTATTTTTGTGCCAAGTCCAACAAGTTTGCTAATGCTGAGTGTTATCATTGTGGCATGAAAGGGCACATCAAGAAACAGTGCAGAAAATTGAAGAGAGAGAACAAGGAGAAAGGGATTGAGCATGATGGAAAGGATAATGATCAAGTTGCCACCGCTACTTCCGAAGACTTTCTCATTGTTTATGATGAAGATGTTATTAACATAGCATGCCATGAGACCAACTGGGTGATTGATAGTGGTGCCTCTATTCATGCTACATCTCGAAAATATTTCTTCACATCCTACATACCTGGTGACTCTGGTTCAGTAAAGATGGGTAATGATGGCTTGGCCAAAATTATTGGTGTTGGAGACGTGCACTTGGAGACGAATAATGGCACGAGGTTGGTTCTTAGAGATGTAAAGTATATTCCTGATATCCGTATGAATTTGATTTCTGTAGGCAAACTTGATGATGAAGGGTATAACAACACTTTCAGTAATGGTCAGTGGAAGCTCACTAGGGTGGCTATCATTGTGGCTATCATTGTGGCTCGAGGCAAGAAGCATTCTACTTTGTACGTAATGCAAGCAAGGCTCCCCAAAGAAGCTATTAATGCAATGGATGATGAGTCTACAGTGGAATTGTGGCATAAAAGACTTGCTCACATGAGTGAGAAAGGCCTGGCAACATTGGCTAAAAAGAATCTTCTGTCTGGAATGAAGAATGCACTTTTGAAAATGTGTGCTCACTGTTTGGCAGGAAAGCAAAATAGAGTTTCCTTCAAGAGTTCCCCTCTTTCAAGAAAGCCAAATATACTTGATTTGGTATATTCAGATGTCTGTGGTCCTATGAAGACAAAAACACTTGGTGGCTCCCGTTACTTTGTGACCTTCATAGATGATTATTCAAGAAAGTTGTGGGTCTACACTTTAAAAAGCAAAGATCAAGTGTTGGAGACTTTTAAACAGTTCCAAGCCTTAGTTGAGAGACAGACTGGGA